ACTATGTTTTTTTGTTGTATGGACTAGGCCCACCATTTGTATGACCACAGTTTTACTACAAATGGTTAAACTATGGTTAGTGTAGCAAAACTATGGTTAATTTGTGGTTACCGGGGTTTAAAAATAGTAACCATGGTTTTTGGATTTATTTGTAGTAAAATCAGCTAGTGTATGCTGGTTTAAGAGTTTTTTAGAAGAAAATAGAGCATTTATGAGGAAACATTACAGTATTGTTTAACTGTGATTACTCCCTTGCGAAAATTAACCATGGTTTTATTGTAGCAAAAGTGTAGTAACTATGTTTTTTTGTTGTATGGACTAGGCCCACCATTTGTATGACCACAGTTTTACTACAAATGGTTAAACTATGGTTAATTTGTGGTTACCGGGGTTTAAAAATAGTAACCATGGTTTTTGGATTTATTTGTAGTAAAATCAGCTAGTGTATGCTGGTTTAAGAGTTTTTTAGAAGAAAATAGAAAAAATATGGCCATGAAGTGCAAAACATTATAGCCCGCTGGCATTTGCTGGAAATACCACACTTATAACAATACAAAATAGAAAGTTGTATGTATTGTTTTGAAACATGGTTGATGGTCCTTGGTGGTCAAAAAAGCAATAGCTGCAACATACCAGCTAGAAACCTGCCTTGTGCCAAAACAACAGTCAACACCAGTGTGCATTTGTTTTAAAAATTAATTTATCTAGTGCTGTCAAACGATTAATCGCGATTAATTGCATCCAAAATAAAAGTTTTTGTAAAATATGTGTGTATTTATTATGTATGTGTGTGTGTGTGTGTGTGTATATATATACACACACACACACACACACACACACACACACAGATGCATGTATATATTTAAGAAAATTTTTTTGTATATATTAAAAATATGTATATATAATGTAAATTATATGAATATAAATATACATGTAAATATGTTCATAATATATAATGTGTGTGTGTGTTTATATATACATAATAAATATACACAGTGTACACACATTATGTAATAACTTTTATTTTGGACACGATTAGTTGAAATTAATTGTTTGACAGCACTAAATTTATGTAATGTATTTTATTTTTCTATAGATTAAAATAATTAGATTTTGCACTTATTTGAAGTATTTGACATTTCAGCAACTCTATTATGCTTAATGTGTCTTGCAGATATTTCCATCAGCTTTGTGAATCACAGTGGACCAGTGATAGTGGGCAAGCAGTATGAGCTCCAGTGCTTCATTCAGAATGTGGATCCATCTAAGAGTGTTGTTGTGAGATGGTACAAACTGAGTCAAACCAACTCCACTGATACCACCAAGACTCCAGTCCGTAGCACATCTAAACTCCAGATCAGTCCAAACAAAACTGATGATGGAGCTCAATACTGGTGTGAAGCAGAAGGAACCCAAAATTATCGAACAATGTCATCAGAACATCTCAGCATTACTGTACATTGTATGCACAATCATTTGTCCAGGTTTACTTTGCAGGTATTTCAGTGGTCCTCATTTTTATCATGTGAAACCTGTTTTTCTCTTTGCTCTTTCCTGTAGATAAACCAATCATCAATGAGATCAAACTGCCTTCCACAGTGCCTGTATTTCGAGGCTATCCAGAGGTGCTTGTTTGTGAAGCCGAGGGAAACCCAAAACCAACAATCAGCTGGAGCCTCGGCACAAATGACACAGTACATAGCACACATAGTGAAAAACTTAATATAACAGAGTCAACACCTGAGGATCTGTACTGCACTGCAAGCAATTCTGTTGGCAGGAAGACCAGACATGTAAAAGTGGTATTAAAAGGTAACTATGCATTTTTGCATATGTTTTGGTTTACATTTCCAACAGCTGTTTCTACTTTGTTGCAGTTTAAAATATGGGGATGTTTCAAAACTGAAATTTTGATCAGGCCAAACATGTCTAAAAATAAAATGCATGATGTTCAGATGTTCACACTAGTCCAAATATGCAATAAATCACAAAGAAAAAAATTTACCAAATCATTAAAAATTATGTAAGAGAAACTTGATGTGATTAGAATGCATTATTTTGATTACACATGTACACTTGCTATGATTAATCATTTCATTTTGCTTGTTTGATTCTGATATGGAAAATCATGAAGTATTGTATTGCAATTTTAGCACTGTTTTTTTTGTCTGATCTTTTGGTATGCTTTATTTCTCTTGACACAGAGGATTACCTGCCCTTAATAGCAGGACTTATTGCAGTCATTGTGGCGTTCATCTCAGTCATCTTCATCTTCATCTTCTCTATCTACTACAAAACAGCCAAGATGGGCCATTATAGCCTGAAGGATGCCAAGCCTAGTGCACAAAATGGAAACATAGCACAGAATGGCAAACACAACCCTATTCCAATGAAGAAACTCTCTCAGAGCAATATCCTTGCTTAGGTTATGAAATCCCTGGGTTTGGCGCATCTACCGAGTCCCAGTGTCCACAAAGGGATTTTTACACTGGAAGTCTCTAGCCCCCTAATTTGTGGCATTTTTGTTTCTTCAAATATCCTTCAGCACCTGTTCATTCACTTCACTCCTAGATCCAGTTTTTATCAACTGTTAATTACATCACAAAAGGGTTTTTAGTTTGCAATCTAATGGACCAGAAGAAAATATGTGACAGAACCGATGACAAAGAAATGCTAAATGATTTCAAATTAACGGACCTGATGTCTGCAGTGGACGTTTTCAGGAATCAACAATCTTGATATAAGTGAATGTTCATTAGCTACAAAGTGACTTTGATTGATTGAGTAATACTTGCTTTGTACGTCATTTAAGGGAAGAAGGCTCTTGTTAAATTGTGTAAAAAGACTATTCTTTTGTCTCTGGCACATTGGTCAGTTTGAATATTTGTGTTTTGTCAAAAGCTATACAGTATGTATTAAGAAATTATGTTTTATTAACAAAGTTCAGGAGGAGCACGTTCAGATAATCAACCAATTAAGCACGATAGTGTATATATATATATATATATATATATATACAGCCAACTTGTTTCAAGACAGATTTCAGGTGTCCGTCCTCCGCCCCAACACCTCACTCCTAACTATTCCTATGCCAGCTTGGGATACGGGGGAGTTGTCTGGGAGCTCTGAGCCCTCCCTTAAGACAGCATGCCAAATAGGCATCCTATTTGCTCAGTCTGATTATATATATGTAAGTGTGACTTGTGAAAGACACCATGATTGAGTGTGTTACTTCGTTAAACAAATTATTTGTTTGATGTTTCTATTCCTTTGGCAAAATCCACACTTTAGAGGGTGGAAATATAGCACACGGTGGCTGTAAAGAAGTCAAAGCTTGGGTATGAGGTTTCTCATGCTGAACCTGTGGGAGAATATTTTGATGAATTTCTAAAAAAATTCTCTCAGGCCTCATAGTTTGTAGAAAAAAAAGATGCTCAACATAAAATAGTTGTGCCAGTTTTATGGCTCAACTTGTATAAAGATGTTAAAAGCATAGTTTAACCAAAAACGACAGTTCTGTCATCATTTACTCACCCTCGTGTTCTTCTAAAGGCTTTTTAAAAATCATCATAAAGTTAACCTATATAACTATTTGTTCTGAAGCAGTATGGATGTTTGTCTGTTTTCAGTTTGATATGTGTGGTCACTATCAATTGCTGTTGTATGGAATAGCATTATGTAAAGATTATTAAAAAATTCACCTTTCCAGTTTCACAAAACACTTAAAAAGTCACACAAGTTTGGAACGACATGAGGATGAAAAAAATGATGACAGAATTTCCATCTTTTTAATTTTGTCACTCCAGAATCTCTGTGTTTAATTTCGATATGAATGTAATCTCACCCATATTCTGGTGGGTTTTCAATTTTGTTATGGAATTTATACCATCTGTCCTTATAAGCACATGGCATTTGAATTTGTAAATGAATTTGTTGAAAACATTTTAGGAATCATTCATTTGTTTAAAAAAACCTATAATAAAATAAATATTCTTTTAACAGAATCGTTTTCAATCTTTGGCAAAAAATATATTATAGTATTGAACAGAAGTCGGTTAAATACAGATCTGTTGTGTATAACTACTGCATAATAAATAACAACTACATTATTTTAATTTACCTCAGGTTCTTTTCTATTTAGTGTTTTAATATTTTCATTTTTTAATAGTTTTTTGCAACAATAACTTGAGCAGGTATGTTATAACAGATGCACCCTTGATTGTCTATCACGATTAGCATTTTTAATCTTGTTATATCTCAGACATTTGTAACACACACACAGGTTTGTTTTTATGGTTTATGGGGACTCTCCATAGGCGTAATGGTTTTTATACTGTACAAACCGTATATTCTATTGCCCTACACCAACTCTATACCCCTAAACCTACCCCTCACAGGAGACTTTCTGCATTTTTAGATTTTCAAAAAAACTCATTCTGAATTATTTATAAGCCTTTTGAATTACGGGGACACTGAAAATGTCCTCATAAATCACCTTCTCGTTGTAATACCTATGTCATACCCATGTTATTACACAAATTTGTGTCCTCATAAACCACATAAACATGCACATTATGGCCAGTGTTCACGATTTTATTCTTAGGTTGAATAAACATTATAAACATATCAGACGCTTCGCTGCACAGCAGGGACGATGCATCGACTGTTCCAACATGGAGATGCTTTATTTCTATTTATTTCTATAACTTTCTGATGTGCTTACCAAACAGTCAATTTTTCAACACGGCCCAAGCTTCAAGCCTGGCTGTATGTAGCGGGTTAGCATGGTTTTAGAGGGCTTTTGGTCACTTTTAGCTGGCCAGGCTGGGAGACCAGCTGACCAACCAGCATAGGCTGGTTTTACCTGTTCTTTACCAGGTGAAAATGTCGTATTCTGTCGGTAAGAAGGGTTGTATCCCTTTAATAACGCGTCGTGTTTAGAGAGTCTGAGATTTGAAACGGTTTAGAACCCGGATTAGCTTCCCTCAGAAACTCATTTGCGCGCATGTGTTCTTCAGTGTGAACTGCCTAAATGGTTTCATTTCTATCCGATGACAACCATACCCACTCGTGATTTGGGTGGGGTTTCGCTGGAGGAGCCGCGCTGGACAGTCACAAATCTGAAGGCAGAGGCGACTCGTTTATTTATTCGCACGCCTCAACCGCGCCTTTGTCTGGTCGATGCTACCCTCAAACACTTACAATATGCTGCAGTGTTTTTATGGACTTGTTTATCTTTCGGCAGTTTTAGCGTTTGCAACTCTGACAGGTTTGTATTGACTTGTTTCCCTTTTATTCTTTCGATACGTGAAGCGAAAACAATAATTAACTAGTTGCATACGACCTTGAATGTGTTTTAAACATTTACTTTCATGTGAGTGATTCCGAGCGTCGTTGAACTCTATTGTCTCTGCGTTAAAATGTTGACATATTTGAGTTAATTCATTACTGTACACTAAGGCACGCTACTATCTAACTTACAGTAGCGCTTGCAATATGACCTGTGCGTGAGTACTGAATATTTTTAGTGCTGGCAAAACTCTTCAGCAGTTCATATAACCTGTGGATTTGTTGTATAGCTAGCCTTAAAGTAGCAAAAGGAAAGTTAGTAGTTTTCAGTTCATGTAGCCATCACTAATATTCAGAGGTGTAAAGTATTGGAGTAAATGTAATTAGTTATTGTAGTTGAGTATCTTTTCGTGTACTTTGTAGTTGTACTGAGTATCAAAGATATTAGCAACTTTTACTCTCTACTCCACTACATTTGAAATGAGTGTTGCAGTTACACATTACATTTAGCATGGACCTAGCTTTTTCTGCCGCAGTTTATTTCTGCTGCAAAAGACGTGATATTGCCTATTACAGGTCACTGAAATATGGAGATAGAATTGTTGCTTAATTCCAAATAAATAGATTATGATCCACAAATAAATGTAAAGAGATTAACAAAAATTAAACATATTGACAAATAAATAGAATGAGATCCACAAATAAATCTTAAAGTTTCACAAACATGAATTAAATTCACAAATAAATAAAATGAGATTTGCAAATAAAAAACATATCGAATGATTACAAAATTCAAGATATGGGAGCAGAAAATGTATACATTTATATCAGTTAATATAGTTTATATAAATATCATTTATATATCAATGTAATTTATTTTCTTCAAAAATCAACATGATTTCAAATGTGATATTAAAATTATGTGATATTAATATACAGTTCAATAAACAAAAAGTTAATTAAGAGACTTAAGTTTTAGACACCATATTGCCTGTTTTTGCTCTATTTCGACAACAAAAATAACTCCAAACAAAGCCACAGCACTGTTTTGCGCCTCTGAACAGTGTGACATCTAAATGCCACTTCAGATGCAGCTTCTGTGTTTCCTCTGCATTCCAAAGATTAATTTAGTTGATAATTATACCATTTGTTTGGTAACTAATTGACTATTCTAATTGACAAATTATATGCAAGAATTTGACTCCAAAAGATGATGCACACTTTAAGAAAAATGGCTTTATAAATGTAAAAAGGCTTATAAAAGGTAAAAATAAATATTTATTTAAGCTTATTGGTAGATTCATTTCTATCACTGCTGTGAACTGACCACCACAGAATATCAAAAACTTCATACATGGTTAGATCCACATAGCAGCTCACATACATCGGCTTGACTGAAAAACTGGGAAATGCTGTTGTGTGATGGCAATTTAACCTATTACACAAACAAATGTTTATTATGAGGTTGAGTTCAGTTATTTATTAGTCAGTTACTTAGTGACGCTTTTATTTCCATATTGAATAACATGACGCTTCCATAACCCATAGACGTGATTTAAAGCTCTGTTTCTCTGGCATTTTCAAAGGCACGTAAAATATAATACTGTGGCTTGGCATGATACATAGTCTAATGGTCTAATGAAACCCAATTTTAAACATCTGTTACTGTACCCATTTTATGGGCCTTATAGTACCTATTTGAGCCAATGCAGATGAATGAAGTTATCTCAGGACGAGACCGCCCTAATTGTAAAGCAAAACGGGATTGGCTATAGCGAGATCGTGCTACGATTGGTCAGCGAAATGTGGCTGTTATCTGATTGGCTTGAGTAGACGGTGGGTGGAGTCCAC